TCTTTTACCTCACAGGGTGTCTGTTGTGGGGAGGGGAAGGGAAAGGAGTGTCAGCCACTCTGAGACTCCCTTGGGTAGTGAAGGGCCATGGGGTATCGATCCAATCTTCTCCTCTTCCTCTTCTTCTTCTTCTTCTTACATCCTTGTCAGGTACATGTATTCAATTCATTCCGTTTAACAACTACCAGTCAATTTCGCATCAATATTTTTAAAAAGTCAATATTGAAGTTGTTAAACGGAATAAATTGAATACATGTACCTGATAAGGATGTAATAATAGCACACTATGCACTTTGTAGAATGATGATTACAAACAGAACATGTTAATTTACAAAAGTTTCTTGCAGTGTATATTTATTTGTTACTAGACTTTCCTAACACTGCAGCTCGGTTTGCTACAACCTCCAGGTCGAGCTTGAGGAATCTCCCAGAGTTCAAACGAATTGCCAAACCACACAGTCCAGTTGCCCAGGAGGAAACGGTAGCTCGTGGGGATTGCACCATTTCCAGAGAAGCTGGTGTAAAATTTAAGGAAAACATAAAACATTTTGAAAGCTGTTAGAAAAACCCTGCATAAAACCTTGATTGCTTAAAATGAGCCTTATCAAAGAGAATAATGTAATTCATTTAATAATACGTAGAAGAACAAAATGTACTGTTCTTGTGTGGGACTGAGCGGAATAGTTCAAATTCCCTGTTCCAGATCATTTTGGGCACTCAGGATTGGGCCGCATGATTTTTCCAGTACAGCCCTGATAAGAGGCACTGCTCCTCTAAGGGGGGAGGGGTTTTCTTTTGGCCCCTCCTCCCCCCCCCCCCCCCCCCCCGGTTACCTTACACAGTAGTTTGTCCAAAAGAATCCTGCAGCTCCAGGAGCAATAATTCCAGGGATTGGAAGGCACTGCTGGGGGAGGAGGGGTTTAGCATGGCAAATGCCCACTTTCCTTCTGCCGGACATTCACTAGATCCAAGACATAGCGACTGATTTTTCCTTTTGGAAATATAAGGCAGTTTTAAAAATTTTTTAGCGCTGGCGAAATTCCTCAAATTCAAATTAGCTTGTTGGTTTGAAAAGAATATTGCTTCTGAGACGGGGGGGGGACTCTGCTCCTTCCTTCCCCTTCCTTCCTGTAGCATGGGAAGCGTCCGTACGCAAGGCCCGTGCAAGGTGCGTATGCTCTCTGTTTGCAATGGGAATCTCCCCCTCTTTAAACCACTTCCCCCCAGACCTAAACCCCCTTACAGCTCCTGGCCATGGGGGTGCTTTTCTGTTAGGCAGACGGAATGTCCTGCCAGGTGTGGAGCTCCGAGGCCGTTTCCCCACCACTCCGCATCTCGACCCCTTTGCCTAACCCTAACCCCTTTGCCTGCTGGGCATCTGGAGTAAGAGAGACCATCGATCGCCTTATTTTATTCTGAGACGGATGGTTGCCCCTCAGAAACTTCTGGGTTACCCTTGTCCTGAGCAAAGATCAGCTGCCTGTTGACTCTTGTGTGATTAGGGATGGGCACAAACCGGGAAAATGGCAGCGGCTCCCCAAGCAGCATTCCCTCTAGGCTGAGTCAGTGTGAGCTAGCTCAGATTTTTTTAGCCTCCGGCTCACACCTTTTTGTCTCAGCGGAGAGAGGAGGGCTCCAGAGCAAACTAATTTATGCAGTAGCTCACAAAGCAGAATTTTTGCTCACAAGACTCTCCACAGCTGAGAGTAGGGGTGCCAAACATGCGGCCTGGGGGCCAGATCAGGCCCCCGGAGGGCTCCCGTCGGGCCCGCAGTGGAACTGGCTGTCTTCTGCTTCTTCTTCCAGTTGTGCTACTGCTGCATAATCGTAGGTTTGCAGCTTACGGATACACACCTGAACAGCATCCTCAGGACTGCAACAGCACAGACATTTTGATGCAATAATTCAGAGCAAGAGGTGTCAGTTATCAGACACTGTTAAATAAACAAGGTACTGCAAGAATGTTAAGGCTTTAAGCATGTTTTTATTTTAATGGGAAAAAACGCTTTGTGTCCTTTATAAAGTTTATATCTCCGCTACCTGGCATTACGTTTTATGACGCACCTGGCCCAGCCCAACAAGGTCTAATTTTTGTCAGATCCGGCCCTCATAACAAATGAGTCCGACACCCCTGGCTTAGAGGGAGCATTGTCCTCTAGGCCAGCAGAATAGAAAGGGAGGAAGATCTTGCAAACACGAACGCATCTGGAAGGCTCGTTGTGGGAGGTGTGTAGGGCTCGTGAGGGCTGGAGGGCACAAACTGAGGTTCGCGGACCACCGACCAGTCCAAGTTCATGACAAATTTAGGCTCGTAATTTGGTTTGTGCTCACCCCTCCTTGTGATACCTTTTCTGTTGGCAGACACCAATCCAGGAATAATGTGTTCTGTTGCCCAATTCTGAGCACTTGTGGGCTCTTTAAGCCGTGACAAAGATGGGCTTTAATTCATCGTGCCGTTTTTAAATGTTTACTGTTCTGTATTTGTTTTGTCTTTGCGTTGGTTTATCTCAGGACCTTTGGTCAGAGGAGCGTAATAGTCGGGGGAAAGGGAAGGGTCCGTACAAACGGCTTCTGACTTTTTCATTTTTTCCAGCAGGAGTTGCTGCTGCTGCTGCTGCTGCTTCTCTTCTTGGACCATGCTGCTTCTGCCTCTGTTGCTCTCCTGTCTTTCTGGGCTGGCCTCTCCTGTGGAGGTGAAGAGGCCCAGAGGCGTCTCCCTAACAAGTGAGTTCCCAGAGGGTGGCACTACGCTTGGTGGTTTGCTTTCTCTTCTGTGCATAGCACATTTTCTGGTGCTCTTTCTTCGAGACCACAGAGCCCCAAAGTAACAGGTAGCGCAGAAAACAGGTTACAGAGCTTTCCAGACGTCCAGGAGACAGCGCCTTCTCTTGCTCTTCACGCAGAGGAAGCGAGATGGGTGAATGCTTCTTTTAAAAGCCTATGAGTTCGTTTAATGTGCTAGCAGAGTCCTACCGTTCTTCAGGGCAATTGCTGTTCATTTTTCCCCCCATGGCATGAAAAGTAGAAGGTGGCTCCAGGAGTTGTGGCGGCCCTCACCTTCCGCTGTGAGCACAACTGGTTGAGATGAGTACGAAATGGAAAGCAGTGTCCATAGGGCCAGATGATGCTCTGGAGCACCTACCCGGAACAGGACTAGTGTCAGGTTCCCAGCAGCTCCAGAGAAAGCTAATCTATGCAGTAGCCAAATCGCTCCCTCACCACTTTAATTCCAGCAGCTCACAAAGTAGAATTTTTGCTCTCAGGACTCCACAGCTTAGAGGGAGCATTGGTTCCCAGTCAAATCACTCTCTATGTCAGACTCCTGCAACAATCAGAATCAAGTACTTGCTTCTTTAGAAGAAAAGTTTATTGATCAGTATTGGAAGAGCATCTCTACTTCTGGAACTGTGTTAAGACTACAGCAAAAAGCGCGGGGTGGACAGATATACAGGGTTCAAAGAGAGTCACTGGGCGGCAGAGAGCCAATCAAGGTAAGAAGTGGGGCCTGCCAGAATCTAACGGTCCCCCATTCCCAGAGGATGGTGTTACAACTAGGAGCCAAGGTCAGGCACATAAACCACACAGATAAGAGAGCATCACCCAGACAGCAAGAAAGTGAAAGTAACATTCCAAGTAATCCCTACCCCCTTCACACAAGTCATTATGGCAGCCAGCTGACAGTCTACATGCACTTTCTTTAGTGAATGTTTTATTTAGAGATATGAGATGCTGTGGGTTCAAACACTTTGTTAGGACTGATTTGCAAGGTGGGAAACACAAGGTATATTGACATCCCCAAATTCCACGCATTCAACGTCAGCATGACTACAGTGATCCTGAAAGATACGTCAGCATGACTACAGTGATCCTGAAAGATATGCAGCCACTATCCAGCCAGACACAGACTCTCCTCCAAGGACATTTCTCGTGAGAACAATGTCTGTGGGGCCTCTTGGAAGATTACTAAGCGGCCTCCCTACTCCTTACTCGCACACACTCCCCCCCCCCCAGGAATTCAGTGGCAAGCGATAAGAAACTGCAAGCAGAAAGAAGCAGGTAAATCATGGGGAGAGGTTACAGGTTACAGATCATTCAGGTCTTAAGCAAGATATACCATCAGGTGCCAAATAATAATAATAACTATGTACCCGTTATCAATGGCCCGAGTCTGACAACTGGACACCCCTGTTCCAAAAATAAAATGCCAGGGCACTGTGCTGTGGCTGTACGTGCAACTCCCCCCCCCCACGGTTCTGTTGTTCCCCACAGATGTTGGGGGGGGTGTTCGCAGTGTCTCCTTAATCCCTTCTTGTGGGAATCAGAAGGACCACGGAGGTCTCAGCTTCTCAAAGTTACCCGCTTTACATTCTGTCCCCAAAGGCTGGATGCCAAACAGCATTCTTTCCCTTTCTCCTTGGCCAGTTGACCACAGGTGGCTGCCCTCTCCCTTCCTGTGCTGAAGAGCTAGGTGAGCAGCCAACTGAAAGGCTGCAGTACGGCCACAGGTAGACACGGGCACCAAAGGCACGTCTGGAGGGCGGAGGAAAATGTTCAGGCCCTTGAGCTGCAGAAAAGAAAGTATATCCAATTTCTGAGCAGGAAAGTGAGATAAGACATTAAGGAAATAAATACATAACACATTAAATGCATGGCTTATAATGCAGTATAAAACTGTAGTGCTTGGTTTATTTATGGAAGTTAAGAGCAGAGTCACCGTGCTTTTTTACAAGCTAAATTGCACATCTCTACTCAGTGTTTAAGGAGCTGCGGTGGCTCAAGTGGTTAAGACGCTGAACTGCAGGCTGTGGAAGGTTGGTAGTTCAGCAGTTCGAGACACAAGTGTGCCGCATGACGGAGTGAGCTCCCGTCTCTAGTTCCAGCTCCTGCCAACCTAGCTGTTCGAAAGCAAGAAATTGCAAGTAGATAAATAGGTACCACTTCGGTGGGAAGGTAACAGCGTTCCATGCGCCTTGGTGTCTAGTCATGCCGGCCACATGACCACGGAAACGTCTTCGGACAGCGCTGGCTCTTCGGCTTTGAAACAGAGATGAGCACCGCAAACCTAGAGTCGAATTCAACTGGCTTTCGAGCAAGGGAACCTTTACCTTTACTCAGCGTTTGAGAGCAAGCTGCAAACTGTGGCGCCCTAATCAGTCTTAGCACCCATATCTTAGTTTTTTTGGCATCTGAGATGAAGGGGGGGAAATGCTAGTTGAAATTGGCAAACAAATTTTGTAGTGAACGGAAACGCTCTCAAAAGCTCCCAATAGGTAGGGCTACCAGCCTATTTGGAGCTCAATTTTATTGTGAATTGTACGTTATTATGAATTGTTGCCAAAGTATTCACATTTAAGCAATAAGCATCCTTCAAAATACGCTGCCTGTGTCTACAGGGGGTACACAAGATTTATTATTAGCTAATGATGCAAATTCTTACATAAGATCTTCACGCCATATGTTTTGGGTGACGGAAACCTTGCCCTAAGAAAGAATTCCGCTCCTCCTGAAAGATGCAGCATTTCATAGAAGTTTTTTTCAGTGCTCCCCCAAATTTCCAGTCCCCCCACCCCACCCCACCCCTGATGGTGATCTTGTGTTTGGCATGCTGGCTGTCTAGCTCCATTCCCTCTCTGGCGTGGATTCGTGGTGCTTCAGCCCTTTACCCCAGCTGGAGCTAGAGATGTAAAATTTCCGAAAATTTTGAAGCTCAACAAAAACCGTTTTTTTTTTTTCAGGGAAAAATGGAAATCTTCAGGAAAATTGAAAAAAATGCTACATTAGCACTTCTTTTTTCTTTTCCAGATTGAAAGTCATTCTGTTACTTTAGGAACATAAAATATGACTATGGACATTTTTACTTGGCATGAAATTATCACAACTAGCATATTAATAATATAGTGTATCCAAACAATTATCACAAACAGAATACCCACCCACATGCAAAAACAAAACTGAAGCCTTTTTCTTTTCTTGTGACAATAGCACCTCCTAAAGGAAGAAATGCATCTTGTTCTTGCATTGGAGAGTTCGGTTGGTAACCTAGGACTTGCTTGTCCTCAGTGCACAGAAATTAGATCAATCTGATACCATACATATTTTTTAGAAATGATTTGAAAAATAGTTGACCACCTTGTCCTAAAATATTTTATTCATCATGTTAAAATAAAACGTTCTCCCCCCCGGGCCTTCACATGTCCCTTCTGCCCCTCTCAGATCACCACTTCTATGACGAATCGAAGCCCTTCACTTGCCTGGATGGCTCTGCGACGATAGCCTTCGACAGGGTCAATGACGACTACTGTGACTGCACAGATGGCTCCGATGAGCCCGGTAAGTGCCTGCGCTTCAGAGGTCCTTCCCGCCCCTGTGAGTCTCACCACTTGGATCTGGTGCCGACTGAGACCAGGACCTCACGGGCCAGACCCTGCAGCCACGGGCTCCAGAGCCAAAAGTGCTGGTGGGAGGAGGGGTGTTGCAAACAGAGGAGTCAGGATGGAAAAGTTCAGTGCAAAATGGAATCAGCTTGATTAGAGCAGGGGAGAAAAGCTTAGAGGCAGAAAATTAGCCTCTGTAGTGAAATAGAAATCATATGCCCTTGTTCAGCCCTGGTGGGGTCCATATTATTCCAAATCTATGAACAAAAATTTGAATTTTCACTTTTGTTGCTTGACGATTCCTAAGGATAATCACCTGAAAACTGTTCCCTACAACTTCGGAAGCACTGAGGGGTGCTCGATATTGTATTGACTGTGGCCCGCATTTATTGTTGCTAATTTTATGAATCCGGATACATGATAAAAAGCAATGGCACAGCAATATATGTAGCCAAGAAAAAAATGCATGTGGCCCAAATTCAACCATCAAACCCCCAGAAATTTAATGGATTTTATAGATATAACACATACACTACTCAGAACAAATTTTCCTATGACACAATTAAATGAAAATGGTGGAGACACGCTTCTGACTTTTGAAGGGAGGTTCCAAGAAATAATTGATTCTCCACTGGGAATCACTGAGGATGGCTGTATCTGAATATACTTTCTGGATGTCTATTGAATCCAGCATGATTCTTGAAAAAATTATTGAAATGGATTTATATCCAGGGGTCCATTGAGTTGGCTGGCAGAGACGCTATCGCATCCTTACAGTTCAAGGACTCTTGGATTAATATTACAAAGATGTTTATGAAGAAAACTATACCTGTGAGTTTCTGCCTGTCTATTTAATTGTGTTATAGGAAAATTTGTTCTGAGTAGTGTATGTGTTATATCTCTAAAATCCATTAAACTGCTGGTTATTTGGTGGTTGAATTTGGGCATGTGCAGTTTTTTCTAATTTTATGAATCTGTCAGGCTTTGGAAATGGAATATTTTTCATGGGAAAATAAAGCATGGAATATTTCCTGTCCAACGTTTCTCCCGCTTCTCTGGAACCACTAACACTCCCCGGTCTGTTGTAGGTTCCAAGAAATAATTGATTTTGCACAACATGGGCACATTCAACGGCTCAGATGATTCCTGTCACAGAATTTTTTTTGGGGGGGGGGTGTTGGACTCAAGGTGTCTGTGGAGCGCTGGGGCTGGGCACGAGTGAACGGGTGGTTAGCAGATAGCTGGAGGTTCTCCATAAACACGGAAGAGGGGAATTTCATCACACGTTGGGGTAGCCTCCTTGACCTCTCCGTCCCCCTGTAGATCAGTTATATGCTAACATGGCTCTCCTTGTCGTTCCAGGGACTGCCGCATGCCCCAGCGGTCGCTTCCACTGCTCAAATGCCGGCTACCGCCCTCAATACATTCCCTCTTCCCGTGTCAACGATGGGATTTGCGGTAAGTGGCGGAACCCTTTGAGCGGCCCACAGACGCTTCCGAATGTTTCATGTTAAGAGACTCTCCCTTTTGTGTCTTTCAGATTGCTGTGATACAACAGATGAATACAACAGTGGTGTGGTCTGTGAGAACACCTGCAAGTGAGGCTCCCCTTTTCGTAAGCCCCCTTCTGTGCCAAAGACGGTCCCAGGCAATGCTCCCCCTGAGCTGTGGGGTCCTGTGAGCAAACATTCTGCCTTGTGAGCTCCTGGCATTAGAGTTGTGAGCGAGCGATTGGGCCGCTGCATCAATCAGTTTGCTCTGGAGCCCTCCTTCCTGAGCTAAGACAAAAAGGTGTGAGCCAGAGGCTAAGAAAATGTGAGCTAGCTCACACTGACTCGTCTTAGGGGGAACACTGGTCCCAGGCTAACTCCCAGGAGAGTCCCGGCTTCCAAACCAAATGGGATTACTTTTGTGCTCCTCGTAGACGCTGTGATGGAGAACATTTACTTAAGTATTGGTATCCTTCTTTTCTCCCTAAAGGCAAGGGGCCCAAACCAACTTGTGGGAGAGAAAGGCTGTAGAAAAACCCAGTAAGGAACAAACAAAACTACTAACTGCCCCAGGGAGGTCAGACTAGAACCAATGGACTGGATTCAAAAAAAGAGAGTTTTTGACTAAACATTAGGAAGAACTTCCTGACAGAGTGGTTTCTCAGTGGAGCAGGCTTCCTCGGGTGGGCTTTCGTGCGCAGACTCTAATCTGGGAGAACTGGGTTTGATTCCCCACTCCTCCACTTGCACCTGGCTGGATGACCTTGGGCAAGCCATAGTTCTGACAAGAGCTGTCCTTGAAAAAGAGCCGTTTCTGTCAGAGCTCTCTCAGCCCCACCAACCTCACAGGGTGTCTGTTGTGGGGAGGGGAAGGGGAAAAGAGACTGTAAGCCGCTCTTAGACTCCCTTGGGTAGGGAAGGGCCATGGGGTATAAATCCAATCTCTTCTTCGTCTTCTTCTTTGGGGGGTTTTAAGCAGAGGCCATGCTGATTCTGTGAGCATGGGTAGATCGTGGGAGCGAGAGTAAGAAGCAATGAGTCAGCACTTGGCTCTTGTAGCCCTTTCTTAGACCACTTTGGGGTCAGGAGGTAATTTTCCTCCATGCCAGATTGCCCAGGGATCCCGGAGGGTTGGTTTTTGTTGTTTTTTTGCCTTTCTCTGGGCATAGACCAGGGGTTCACCGGGGACGTCGGAGGGAGGTTGTTGTGAATTTCCTGTGTTAAGGAGGGGTTGGACAAGGCAACCCTCGAGGTCCCTTCAGGCTCTATGCTTCCGTGTTTCTTTTGGTCCAATCCTGGGCTCATTGGCTGGCTCTTCTGACAGCCCGGGCTAGAGCTTTGTCAAGTACCTGAAACAGCGACTGGGATCGATGTGTCCGCCCTCCACCCCCATCCTCTCCTCCAAAATGGTTGAGGAATGGATGTTCTGCATCTGAAGCTTTTGCCTCTGCCTCCCTGCTGGCCTCCAGTATGGTTTCTGCTCGACTGACCTCAGAGTCTTGCTGTGCTCCCGCAGCACTGTGCAGACATCATAAGTGTTGAGCCTTCCCAGGATATGAGAGTTGGCCTCTGCTCCCTGTTCGCTTTTGGCATTCTGTAGGAGAGCGGCCTTGCCCGGGTGGCCTCCTGCCTCTGCTGCTGTGCCAGTCCTGCCATGCGTGGCACACCTGAAGGAAGCTTGCCCCCCACCCACCTCCTTCCAAGATAGGTTGTCGCTGTGTACTGTGTCCCTGTCGGTAGCACGGTCACAAGATGCGGGCTGAAAGGCGGCTGCGTTTCTCTTTCTCCGCAGGGAGATGGGCCGGAAGGAGCGGGAGGCGCTAAAGCAGATGGCCGAAGTGGCCAGAGAAGGCTTTGAACTCAAGCAGACCCTCATGGCCGAAGCCAGCAAGAGGAAGGAGGAGAAACAGGTGAGGAGGAGTGGGCGGAGTTTGTGGGGGGAGCAGAAGCGGAGGCCGTGGCTCACGGTCAGGAGAGGGGAGAGAAGGGTGCAGTCCAGGCACCCGGGGCAGCTCAGGGATTATTTTGTGTTCTCACCTAAACAAGAATTACAACAAACTTAGAGTCCAGTTGGGCACCTAAGACAAACCAAGGTTCATTCAAGGTATGAGCTTTCGCGTGCAAGGCACACTTTATACAATACGTTAGAATGGCAAAAAGGTTCAAACTTCTAGCCACAGAATAAACAGCAAATTAACATGCAACATGATGACGATCAAGATATGCAAAGTGACACTAAATAACAAGGTTATAAGGCCAAGAGTTGTAAAGCAATAAATATGTCAAACTAGCAGATTAATGTCTAAAGGTGTCATTTCTAATTGTGGGAAGTGACTGGGAATCTTCATTCCCTCCTGTCAGGTGGGGAGGGCATGTTAACACTACCTCCCCTTCCAAAAAATGCTGCTATGGCAGCAGACATAAAGTGTTTAATAGTGTACACAGAGTGTTTAAAGGTAAAACCGTTTCCCCTATAAGCGAGGACGCCACAGGCAGCTTCATGTGAGGGGCCATGGTTCAATGGTAGAGCATCTGCTTGGCATGCAGAAGGTCCCAGGTTCAATCCCCAGCATCTCCTGTTGAAAGGACCGGACCAGGTAGTAGTTGATGCAAAAGACCTCAGCCTGAGACCCTGGAGAGCTGTAAAGAGGGGCTGTGGCTCAGTGGTAGAGCCTCTGCTTGGCATGCAGAAGGTCCCAGGTTCAATCCCTAGCAGCATCTCCAGTTAGAAAGGACCAGGGAGGAGGTGATGTGAAAGACCTCCGCCTGAGACCCTGGAGAGCCGTAAAGAGGGGTTGTGGCTCAGTGGCAGAGCCTCTGCTTGGCATGCAGGAGGTCCCAGGTTCAATCCCCAGCATCTCCACTTAAAAAGGACCAGGCAGGAGGTGATGGGAAAGACCTCCACCTGAGACCCTGGAGAGCTGTAAAGAGGGGCCGTGGCTCAGTGGCAGAGCCTCTGCTTGGCAGTCAGAAGGTCCCAGGTTCAATCCCCAGCAGCATCTCCAGTTCAAAGGACCAGGCAGGAGGTGATGGGAAAGACCTCCACCTGAGACCCTGGAGAGCCGTAAAGAGGGGCCGTGGCTCAGTGGCAGAGCCTCTGCTCGGCATGCAGAAGGTCCCAGGCTCAATCCCCAGCGGCATCTCCAGTTAAAAAGGACCAGGCAGGAGGTGATGGGAAAGGCGTCTGTCTGAGACCCTGGAGAGCCGCTGCCAGTTAGAGGAGACATTCTGGACCTTGATGAATGAAGTGTTCTGTATAAGGCAGCTTCACGCATTTCAGTTTGTATCAGCCCATGGAAGTTTGGTTTGTGGTTCCTCTTTGGTTATGGGGAGTGTGTGTGTGTGTGTGTGTGTGAAATTTGAGGAAAAGGAGCAACTCCGTTCCGGTTGTGAAAAAGAGACAGGCCCCCAGATCCTGTGAACCTTTTGAATTTCGAGCGACATGGATGTGCCATGCAGTGAGCGGCAGAGGTGGCCCCAGTCCTGGGCTGGTGCAGATGGGGACGGTGAGGCTGTGAGGGCTTGGCCTGCGTTCAGAAGACCTCCTTTTTCTTCCAGCGAGAGCTGTCTGAGCTGCAGGACGGGAAGAAGTCTGTGGAGGAGAAAGTGGAGGCTCTGAGAACGCTGAAGGAGGCGGCCGAGAAGCCTGAGAAGGAAGCCAAGGATGCCCATATGAAGGCCTGGGAGGGTGAGGGGCCAGTGCCGTTTTGTGGTGGGGTGATGGTCAGTGTTCCCTCTAAGCCGAGTTAGTGTGAGCCAGCTCACAGTTTTTTAGCCTCCGGCTCACACATTTTTGTCTTCGCTCAGGAAGAATGGGGCTCCAGAGCTAACTGATTTCTGCAGAAGCCCAATCGCTCACTCACAACTTTAAAGCCAGGAACTCACAAAGTAGAATTTTTGCTCACAGGACTCCACAGCTTAGAGGGAACCTTGGTGATGGTACCACTGGGCTCTGTGTGTGGCTGACCCAGAGGCCTTCCTTTCAGACCAGTGGGGCCCAAGGGAGCATTTTGGGAAGGACTTCAGTGTCTAAACAGCACAAAGAGCTCTCCCAGGAATGAAGGAGAGCTGGGGTGGGCTTCATATGTCTTGCTCCTGCCTTTGGGATAGGCACACAGCCTGTATTTACTGGCAGGAGACCCCTAGGGGAGGGACTGTGGCTCAGTGGCAGAGCCTCTGCTTGGCCTGCAGAAGGCCCCAGGTTCAATCCCCGGCATCTCCAGTTTACAAGGACCAGGCAATAGGTGATGGGAAAAATCCTCTGCCTGAGACCACCGAGGAAGTCCAGGGTTAATATGTTGTCGAAGGCTTTCATGGCTGGAGTTCATTAGCTGTTGTATATTTTCCGGGCTATGTGTGGCCGTGGTCTTGGCATTGTAGGACCTGACGTTTCGCCAGCAGCTGTGACTGGCATCCTCAGAGGTATAACACAGAAAGATGGAGGACTCTCTGTGTCAAGGTGAGGAGATTGTACAAGATAATCTCAGCCCTACCCCCCAGCTTCCTGAGTAGATATAAATTACCTGCCTACAATTTCTCTTCTCACCTTGACGCGGAGAGTCCTCCCTCTTTCTGTGTTATGCCTCTGAGGATGCCAGTCACAGCTACTGGCGAAACGTCAGGTCCTATAATGCCAAGACCACGGCCACACAGCCCGGGAAATCTACAGCAACTAAAGAACTCCGGGGTTGCTAGGCAGAGGCAGGCAAGGGCAAACCACCTCTATTCTTCTCTTGCCCTGACCTGGGTGGCCCAGGCTAGCTTGATCTAGCCTGTTATAGTATTACTTACTACAGTTATCACTTCTCACAGTTCCGCAGGGCCTGTGAAACGGAGCTGTTCCGCCTGGCCTTTGGTTGAGGAGGTGGGCCTTCAGCCATTCTGCCCTCCCCTTTCCATGGCTCGTTTCCCAGTTTGGTGTTGTGGTTAAGCACGTGGTGGACTCTAATCTGGGAGAACCGGGTTTGATTCCCCACTCCTCCACTTGCACCTGCTGGATGACCTTGGGCAAGGCACAGTTCTCTCAGAGCTGTCCTTGAAAAAGAGCCATTTCTGTCAGAGCTCTCTCAGCCCCACCCACTTCACAGGGTGTCTGTTGTGGGGAGGGGAAGGGGAAGGCGTTTGTATTATTTATTTATCAGATTTATACCCTGCCCTCCCCTCAAAGCAGTCTCAGGGTGGCTTCCATACAAACATAAATACAGTTAAAATCATTTAAAACACGACAGATAAAATACAAACACAAGGTGCTGGCAACAGTTAAAACTTAACTTAGATGGCTCATTTTCAAGATGAATTACCACTTCTCAGATATTCTTCTGCTCAGAATTTCTTATGGCATCAGCTCGATGTTAAAGCCACGAGCCAGGGCTCTACGACAGCGGCAGCCCCTAATTAAATGCCTGGCAGCTCCGTCTTGCAGGCCCTGCGGAACTGTGAAAGGCCACTCTGAGACTCCTTTGGGTAGTGAAGGGCGGGGTAGAAATCCAATCTCTTCTTCTTCTTCCCTTACTTTTATGATATTACTTGGACATTGGCGTTTCTTGGGGTAACTGTTCCTGCCCGACATGAGGCATGGGTTTTTTGTCATCATCTGTTGCTTCCATTTGTTATTGTGTTGTTTGTATTGTTTGACTAGCAGTAAAGCCCGTTGTGAAAGCAATACAACGGGATCTAGAAAGAGGCTCTGGGGGAGTGCTCTGGCTTTGGGCAAACAGTGTCAATTTGCTGTGGTGACCTCAGCAGGGTATAATGACAGAGTCCACTGTTTTCTCCAGAGGAACTGATCTCTGCTACCTGAAGAGCAGTTGTAATTGTGAGTGATCTGTAGCCCTCACCTGGAGATTGGCAACAATTGTTACCCAGGACAAAATGGCTGGTTTGGAGGGTGGAGTCTATGGCATTCTACCTGTCTGAGGTCCCACCCCTCTGCAAACCCCACCCTCTCCAGGCTCCACCCCTCAAATCCCCAGGAATTTGTCAGCATGTAGTTGGCAGGGGGGTGAGTTTGAGGTGTGGAATGCAGTGAAGTCCAATCAGCTTCCATATGCAAAAGACCTTGAAGGTTCCATATGCAACTGACATTCCAACTGCCTTGCGGGGAGGGGGGTGAGTTTGAGGTGTGGAATGCAGTGAAGTCCAATCAGCTTCCATATGCAAAAGACCTTGAAGGTTCCATATGCAACTGACATTCCAACTGCCTTGCGGGGAGGGGGGTGAGTTTGAGGTGTGGAATGCAGTGAAGTCCAATCAGCTTCCATATGCAAAAGACCTTGAAACGCTGGGCGGGACTGCACAAAGCAGCCAGTCAACCCAGCCAGCGTCTTCTGACTGACAGTTCAAGCGTCCATACACTAAAGGAGTGCATTTTAGAACTTTGGCACCCACTACTCAATTATATATAATAATAAATAGAATTTCAATTTAAAACATGATAAAACATTATAACAATTAAAACAATGGGTACAGCTTGAAACAGCGTCAGTTGGCTATAAATACTGTTAAGTATTTCAGCTACTATAGCACCTTCATTAATAGAGTGGCCAGCTCTGGGTTGGGAAAAACCTGGAGATTTTGGGGTGGAACCTCAGAAGGGCAAGGTTTAGGGAAGGGCGAGACCTCATCAGGGTACAATGCCATAGAGTCCGCCCTCCAAAGCAGCCATTTTCTCCAGGGGAAACTGATCTCTGTCATCTGGAAATCAATTGTAGCAGGTCCCACCTGGAGTTTGGCAACCCTAGGGGAAAGTGTGCTGCACCGCAGAAGGGTTTGAAGAGAATGGTTTGATGGGTGCTGGGCCAAGATTGGCAACAATAGTTCCCCAGGAGCAAATAGCTGGGTTGGAGGGTGGAGTCTATGGCACTGTAACCTGTCTGAGGTCCCCCTCTCCGGCCTCCACTCCTCAAATCTCCAGGATTTTCCATACCTAAAGCTGGCAACTTTATCTCCTCCCCTCTCAGTAGCCTCTTATTTTGCCTTAAATTGGTTTTGATGCCAGCAGAGTGAGAAAATGCCAGAGGCTCTGGGTGGGTGCCTCATCGTAAATGCACCAAACAATTCCTAAAGATTTGCCAAAACACTACTCTGTCGACAAATTGCAGCACTTTGAATTAGCACCAGAGCTTTAAGAGCTCTCCAGCTGTCACCTGGAGACTGGCAACAGCTTGTTTGGAGGGTGGGGAGTATGGCATTGTATCTGTCTGAGGTCCTCCTCTTTCTCTTCCTCCTCCTCCTCCTCAGACCCCACCCTCAGCAGGCTTCATTCCTAAACTATCCTGGAAGTTTCCAACCTGGAGTTGGCAACCCTATGTCCTTTCCAGGCAACCAACAGCCTAACCTTTATCTGCCTGTCTGTCTTCAAGTTCCCTCCCCCCCCCCCACAGCCTCTGCCTAGGGAAAGCAGCTGTCATAATTCTCCTCTCCCCCTATGAGGTATGTTAAGGTGGAAAGTGTGTGAATGGTCCATAATCCCCCAGGCAGCTCTTAAAACATGTTCCTGGGACCTACACCCCACCAGACATTCCAACTGCCTTGCGGGGGGGGGGAAGTATGAGGTGTGGAATGCAGTGAAGTCCAATCAGCTTCCATATGCAAAAGACCTTGAAGGTTCCATATGCAACTGACATTCCAACTGCCTTGCGGGGAGGGGGGTGAGTTTGAGGTGTGGAATGCAGTGAAGTCCAATCAGCTTCCATATGCAAAAGACCTTGAAACGCTGGGCGGGACTGCACAAAGCAGCCAGTCAACCCAGCCAGCGTCTTCTGACTGACAGTTCAAGCGTCCATACACTAAAGGAGTGCATTTTAGAACTTTGGCACCCACTATTCAATTATATATAAGGAGAGATGGTTGTGTGTTGTAAGCCGCCCTGAGCCCATTTGGGGAGTAGGGCGGGTTATAAATTAAATAAATAGAAATAAATAAAATCTCATCAGATCTCGGAAGCCAAGCAGGGTCGGCCCTGGTCAGCACTTGGATGGGGGACCAGCAAGGAAGCCCAGGGGGTCGCTACGCAGAAGCAGGCAAAGGCAAACCCACCTCTGAACACCCCTTGCCTTGAAAACCCTGCAGGGTCTCCCATAACTCGGGTGCAACTTAATGGCAAAAAAAAAAAAGGCTAAACATCTGAGGGGTACAACTGGTAGCAATCAGGAGAAGAGGGACCGCAGACCTTGGCCCTGCCGTCTTCTCCAGTCTCCTTCCCGACAGTAACTTCCTAACCTCTTGGCTTTCCTACAGCCCAGAAAATGGCTGAACAAGCCGTGAAGGACCAGGCCAGAGCGGAAGAGGCCTTCCAGGAGCTCGACGGTGATGCAGATGGCCTGTGAGTGCCCCTTCCTTCCCCTCTTGGCGGCAGGGTCAGGGCCTGTTCCAGTGGGTAGGGCAGAGGCCTGGGCTAGACGGCCTGGCTGGAAGAGGAGCCACCCCTGGTGTCGGTTCTGGAGTTTAATTCTTCCTTTCTTTGGGGAGAGAAGCATTTCTTGTTGCCACAACCGCTTAAATAGCTGTATTACAGGAACGCCAGAAGAGCCCTGATGGATCAGACCACTGAGGGTCCATCTGGTCCAGCCTCCCGTCTCATACAGGGGCCAGCCAGTTCCTCCAGAGAGCCAACAACAGGGCAGGGAGGCCGAGGCCTTCCCCTGATAAGAGCACCATAAGAGCCCTGTTGGGTCAGACCAGGGAGGGTCCATCCAGTCCAGCCTCCTGTCTCACACAGTGGCCTCAACCAGTTCCTTTGGAGGGACAGCAACAGGGCAGAGAGGCCGAGGCCTTCCCCTGATTAGAACATCAGAAGAGCCTTGCTGGGTCAGACCAGGGAGAGTCCATCCAGTTCAGCATCCTGTCTCACAGGGGCCAACCAGTTCCTCTGGAGGGCCAACAACAGGGTAGAGAGGCCAAGGCCTTCCCCTGTGAAGAACATCAGAAGAGCCCTGCTGGGTCAGACCAGGGAGGGTCCCTCCAGTCCAGCCTCCCGTCTCACACAGGGGCCAGCCAGTTCCTCTGGAGGGCCAGCAACAGGGCAGGGAGGCCGAGGCCTTCCCCTGATAAGGACACCAGAAGAGCCCTGCTGGGTCAGACCAGGGAGGGTCCATCTAGTCCAGCATCCTGTCTCACACAGTGGCCATGCAAAGATAGAATCACAAAAACTGCTCACAGTGTGCTCAATATTTCTTTAACGAAATGTACAAAATTAATAGTAATACATTAAAGTTGTTAATTCAGATACAAAAAGATAGAAGATGACAACGACGGGATGGTGGTCTCCGGAATGCGATGCCGTTTCGACAAACGTCTTCTTCTAACCAAGAGTCTATAAGCTTATAAATAATATAATATATATGTAAACATCAATACTTGCATCTTGGTAATTGTACATCGAAATAACATAGAACTGGTGCAAAGCCTTACTTGATGATGTGTGAAAAATTGCACTTCAGTGGAAAAGCTGCCCAATTCACATGGAATTCAATACCAGTTTCTAAAAAATATAGCAAAGCAATGTAACCAGACTGGATAACTAACTGGACAACTCACAAGTGTTTGTCCAGCCGCTACTGCCAGTGAGGGGGAGCTCACCACCACCCTAGGCAGCTGATTCCAGTTTTTCCTACGATCCAGACGGTACTTTCCCGCCCTTAATTCCAACCCATTATTGCAAGACCTCTCCTCTGCTGCCAACAGGAACAGCTCCCTGCCCTCTAAGTGACAGCCCTTCAGATACTTAAAGAGAGCAATTGTGTCTCCCCCTCAACCTCCTCTTCTCCGAACTAAACATTCCCAAGTCCCTCAGCCTTTCCTCATAGGGCTTGGTCTCCAGACCCCCAATCATCCTCGATGGTCCGTCTAGTCCAGCATCCTGTCTCACACAATGGCCAACCAGTTCCTCTGGAGGGCCAACAACAGGGCACGGAGGCCGAGGCCTTCCTATGATGTTGCCTCCTGGCTCTGGGATTCAGAGGCTTACTGCCTCTGAATGTGGAGGTTCCCCTCCATCACCATGGCTAGTAGCCACTGATTCACAGATAGAGTTGTTCTGTGTATAATTTTTAAATACTGATACTTAAATAGGACATGGAGCATTTCCAAGGCCGCCTTGGAGCGAAAGGCTCGTGGGCCATTCATCCTGTCCCTTTCCCTTGAGAGTAAAAGCTTCATGCCTTAATTATTCCCAAGTGATGCGGTCCAGTCCCTTCCAGCAAGAAACTTGCTGAAACAGAAAACTGAGAACCTTGGTTACTAAAAGGGTTAGGGCAGACATGGGAGCTCTGCAAATGTGCTGCTTCTGTGGCGTTACGTGCGCCCAGAGTTGCAGAAATCTAGGCCGGCCTCCTGACCATCTCTCCCCTTCTGCCTTCAGTGTGTCGGTCGCCGAGCTTCAGGCACGGGCAGAACTAGACGTGGACGGCGACGGGATCCTGACAGAACCTGAGGCCCAGGTATGATGGAGAAGGCGATCCTCTGTGAGCGGATTGGTTATTGAAGCTCAGTCCAGACAAGACCTTCTACAGAGCCAGTCGGGTGAAGTGGTTAAGTGTGCGGACTCTAATCTGGGAGAACCGGGTTTGATTCCCCACTCCTCCTCATGCAGCTGCTGGAGTGACCTTGGGTCAGTCACAAGTTCTCTCAGAGCCGTTCTCTCAGGAGCAGTCCTCGAAAGAGCTCTCTCAGCCCCGCTTACCTCACAGGGTGTCTGTTGTGGGGAGGGGAAGGGAAAGGAGTCTGTAAGCCGCTCTGAGGCTCCTTTGGGTAGTGAAGGGCCATGGGGTATAAATCCAGTCTCCTCTTCTTCTCATGAGAGCAGAGAAGGAGGAAGGACTGTCGATTGGCACTTTGGCATTCACTCCCTCCCCCCAAGGCTTTCTGCAGGGATTAGGGGCCAAAGGTGTAAATAAAGCATTTGGGGACTGCTTGCTATGCACAACGTATTTGCCATTGGAGAATTACCCAGGAAGTCCAGCACAATAATTTCGGGGGGGGGTGGTGGAAAGAAAGGGGGAAAAGCTAGGATTGGTCATCAAAAGGAGTGGAATCTCCTCCAAGCTAGGAAGTTCATGGGGGCTTAGTCTTGAACTGTGGTTCAGCCCTTGGAGATGCATGCAGGCACATTGCCAACATGTGCTGAGCAATGCTCCCTCTAAGCTGTGGAGTCTGGTGAGCAAAAATTCTACTTGGTGAGCTACTGGCATTGAAGTTGTGAGCGAGCGATCTGGCTCCTGCATAAATTAGTTTGCTCTGGAGCCCTCCTTCCTGAGCCGAGACAAAAATGTGCGAGTCGGAGGCTAAAAAACTGCCAGCTAGCTCACACCCCCTCAGCTCAGAGGGACCACTGGTGCTGAGTAAACGTCTTTCCTCGCAAGTCTACAGAGTCTAGGAGTGAAGGGACTCTGCCCTTGGAGGCCTCCTCTTGGATGTGAAACTGAGAAGCCTCTCAGGACGCCCGGGAGGTGAGGGGCCCGGCCTCCTTAGCTGCCTTCTGCTTTTTCAGGGCTTGCTGGGCGACTCCTCGCAGGTGGACCTGGCCCAGTTCCAGAGCACCGTCTGGGCAGCCATCAAGGAGAAGTACAAAGGAGAGGTCAGTGCGCCCATCCCTGTCTGTCTGTACCCTGCTGCCCCACAGGTTTTCTCCCCCCCCCAAATGCAGTGGGTCACAGGCAGCCTCCCTTTGAGGTGTAGAGTCTTGTGAGTAAAGAGTCTACTTTCTGAGCTGCTGGCATTAAAGTGGTAAGCGAGCAATTTGGCTACTGTGTAAATTAGTTTGCTCTGGAGCCCCGTCCTTCCTGAGCCAAGACAAAAATGTGTGAGCTGGAGGCTAAAAAACTGTGAGCTGGCTCACACTAACTCAGCTTAGAGGGAACACTGGTGACAGGATCTCTTAGAAGACAAGGTGTCGAATCCTGTAATTTGGAAGGACTCCCAAGCTGCCTGTCAAGCAGCGGTAGGTGGAACGGCTCGGAAAGGGGCCTGCGTTGGACAAAGGCGTTAACATTTCTCCATTGGGGGTGGAGAGCGTCCTTGAACGGGTCAGTCCTCCTGCTGCCGTGCTGAAGGTCCTGGGGGAGGGGGGTAATCCTTCTGCCTCCCACTGGAAAATGTCCCCCCCACACACACACACTCCCGTGCCTGCCCGTGCCTACTCTGCAGAAGCAGCCCGTTTGCAGAGTTCTTTTGTCTGCTGTTTTTCCTGCCAAAGGGCCGGGGATTTTAAAATGACTGTAAAGGCTGCAGAAGATCAGCCCCTCCTGTCCCGTGTGACACAGCCCCTGGTCAGCAGTCTCTGGCCTTCCTCCAGGAACGTGGTTGTTATTGCTGGGCTGGGGGGGGACGATTATGTGGCTGTGACTGGTGATCTGTTATCAGGAATGTGGCCTCGTCCACAGTTCCTCCACTGCAAAGCAACTATCCAGACTAGTAACGAGACATATTCTCCACGCAGATTTAACTTCTTGGGAGGGAGGGGGCTGAGACTTGAAAAATTCCCGTTTTAGCGACTCATAATCTTTAAAGGCATTCTCGATTTTTTTCCCCAGAAGGCAAAATAGGGACAGTAACTTACCAGGAACAGTTACCAGAAATTATTTAGTACTATTTTATTTGGAACATTCTTTCCATCCAAATAGGGCCGTCGAGGTGGTGAATATCAAAACATTTCAACATTCAGAACATTTAGAATGAAGTATATATATAAAATAATTCAATATGAACATAAATATGCTTCACACCAAAACCAGGGAGAAGGGTCAATAACAGAAGAGCCCTGCTGGATCAGACCAGTGAAGGTCCATCTAGTCCAGCATCCGTCTCACACAGGGGCCAGCCAGTTCCTCTGGAGGGCCAGCAACAGGGCAGAGAGGCCGAGGCCTTCCCCTGATAAGAACCTCAGAAGAGCCCTGCTGGGCCAGACCAGGGAGGGTCCCTCCAGTCCAGCCTCCCGTCTCACTCAGGGGCCAGCCAGTCCCTCTGGAGGGCCAGCAACAGGGCAGGGAGGCCGAGGCCTTCCCCTGATAAGAACCCCAGAAGAGCCCTGCTGGGTCAGACCAGGGAGGGTCCCTCTAGTCCAGCCTCCCGTCTCACACAGTGGCCTCAACCAGTTCCTCTGGAGGGCCAGCAACAGGGCAGAGAGGCCGAGGCCTTCCCCTGATAAGAACCTCAGAAGAGCCCTGCTGGGTCAGGCCAATGAAGGTCCCTCTAGTCCAGCATCCTGTCTCATACAGGGGCCAGCCAGTTCCTCTGGAGGGCCAGCAACAGGGCGGAGAGGCCAAGGCCTTCCCCTGATAAGGACACCAGAAGAGCCCTGCTGGGCCAGACCAGGGAGGGTCCCTCCAGTCCAGCCTCCCGTCTCACACAGGGGCCAGCCAGTCCCTCTGGAGGGCCAACAACAGGGCAGAGAGGCCGAGGCCTTCCCCTGAGAAGAACCTCAGAAGAGCCCTGCTGGGTCAGACCAGTGAAGGTCCATCTAGTCCAGCCTCCCGTCTCACACAGGGGCCAGCCAGTCCCTCTGGAGGGCCAGCAACAGGGCAGAGAGGCCGAGGCCTTCCCCTGATAAGAACCTCAGAAGAGCCCTGCTGGGC